TGTTTTGATTACTATAGCTTTGTAATATAATTTTAAATCAGGAATTGTGATGCCTCCAACTTTGTTTTTCTTTCTCAGAATTGCTTTGGCTATTCAGAGTCTTTTGTGGTTCCATATGAATTTTAGGATTGTTTAGGATTGTGAAGAATGCCATTGGGATTTTGATAGGGATTGTGATGAATCTGTATGTTTCTTTGGGTAGTGTGGACATTATAAGAATAACGACTCTTTCAATCCATGAGCACATAATATCTTTCCATTTACTTGTGTTCTCTTCAATTTCTTTCGTCAGTGTTTTATAGTTTTCAGTGTATAGAGCTATCATCTCCTTGGTTAAATTTATTCTTAAGTATTTTCTTTTGGATTCTATTGTAAATGGGATTATTTTCTTGATTTCTTTTTTGGCTAGGTCACTATTTTTATATAAAAATGCCATGTGTTTTTGTATGATGATTTTGTATCCTGCAAATTTACTGAATTCATTTATTAGTTCTAACATGTTTTTAGTGGAGCCTTTGGGGTTCTTACATATAGCTTTCCTAATATTAACACAAGGAATTCTTATGTGTAGCACCCCACCAGTCTCCCAACTCACATGGGGTAATGCTTCTGTCATCTGTTGCCAAATCTGTGCAATTCCTGCACTGCTACAATTTCATTCTCTGTCCCACTTTGATTTTCAATGTCAATGAGAACATAACGTGCTTCTTGAAAGATAAGGTTATTTGTGTTATTTAAGTCAGAAGTTTTCCTTTTCTCCCCTCCAACAGGAGAAGCAAAGAATCGAAACTATAACCCATCAAGTTTCCACAGGTTTAACTTATACGGAGTCCCAACACCACATTTTAATGATGGACGAACCATGGCAAAAACTTTATATTGGCTTCATGAACTACAAATGTAAGTTTAATTATACTGCGTCCAGGAAGAAGTGTTAAGATATTTGACATTTGGACTTAAACTTTATTTTTGAAATTTATATTTTGAAGAGATAATACATTGATATGGTTCAAACATAAAATTAATAGAAAAAAATATACAATGTAATATCTTCCACTTCTGAAACCCATTCTGTCCAGTTACTCCAAAGATAATCATGATACTGTTTTTTACCGTTATCATTCTAAAGTTACAAGCAAATATAAAGACATATATTCATGTTTTAAATGTATGGGATCAACTCTATGTATGTTTCTTAAACATAACAGGCATTCAAATCTCTACCAAGATGGCTATAGTTGACCTGTCATTTATTATTCAGCTTTGTTTAATAGTTATTTGGGCATCTGAGCATCTAAGTCAACTTTTGCAAATTGTAACCTTTTTATGTTTTCATTCCATATATAACTACTTTCCTAGAAAATTAAAATGGGGTCCTTAGTTTTTCATTTCTTGTGTTATATATCTGAGCCAACACTTAAACATTAGGAGATTGCGCATAAAAACCTAGATTTCCTATAATGCTTAAAAAATCAGAAGACTGTAAATATTGGTGTCCTCCAAAACTCCCTAAAAAAGATTGCCCATGTCTTAACCCCAGACCTTTGAATGTTACCTCATGTGGAATAAGGGTCTTTGTAGATGTAATTAAGTTAAGGATTTTGAGATGAAGAGATTATTCTGGATTATTTGGTTGGGGTCCTAGATCCAATGATAAGTATCCTTAGAAGGGCAGAAGGAGATTTGAGACAAAAGAGGAAAAGGCATACAGAAGAGAAGGATATGTGCAGATGGAGGCATGATGTGCTTATAAACCAATGAACACCAAGTAATGCCAACAGCCACCAGACATTGAAGGAAGAAAGAAATGGTCTGGGCTAGGTGGTGTGCACCTGTATTTTTAGCTACTTGGGAGTCTGAGGAAGGAGGATTGCTTGAGCCCAGGAATTTGAGGCCAACCTGGACAACAGAGCAAGACTCTGTCTCTAGGGAGGGGTGGGGAAAGACAAGGAATGGATTCTCCCTAGAGCCTTTGGAGGGAATGTGGCCTTGCTGATATCTTGATTTCAGACACTGGTCTCCAGAATGTGAGTGAATACATTTCTGTTGTTTTAAGCCATCAGTTTGTGGTACCTTGTCATAGCAAACTCATGAAACTAATACACTGGGCCTGTATTTCTGTGTGTCAATGGTAGGGGTAGGTTTGTTGTGCCCTCTACCCTTTATAATTTTTTCCCTTAGAGACAGAGTCATATTTCACTGCAGCCTCAAACTCCTGGCCTCAAGTGATCTTCCCTCCTCAGCCTCCCAAAGCTTTGGGATTATAGGCATGAACCACCGCACTTGGCCTCTCTACCCTTTTTAAAGGAGACACTGGCCCTCTGGGTTTCCATAGACTTCACTGTGAACTCAAAGTTTGCATTCCCACAGATATCCAACCTGTCTCACTCTTTTGCCTATTTGCCTTTTGCCTTTTGCCTAATTACAATAGCTCTTAATTATAGAGGCAAAGTTCTAAGCACTTTATATATTATTAATTTAATCTACCAAGAACTTCATGAAATAGTATACTATGCTTTTTATCCTAACCATTTTACAGATGAAAAACCTGAGGTACAAAATGGTTAAATCATTTGCCTAAGATCATGCAGCTCAGAAGTACTGGGGCTAGGAATGAAACCCAGGCAGTGTGGCTCCAGAAGTTGCCCTTAATCACTACACCAGGTTTATAGGAACTTGATTCTTGATCACCTGTTTACAGTCTTGAAAAGTGATTTCCATTCCTCTTCTACTCCTTTAATGTATGAGTTTCTCATACTTGGATTATTCAAAATGAGGATGGTCAAACACACGTACAGAAGACATTCTTACCATTTTATAGTAAACCTGTATGAGATAGTTTTTATTTAGGATATGGAGGAAGCACTCATATAACAAATATTTCTTA